TTCTGTTTTTCTTAGGGAAAAAATACTATTAACATTGGGACAAATTTATTGCATCAAGGCTGCAGCCATTTGGCTTCACTCCAAATTACCTTAAGTGCAATTTTGGTAACACCTCCTTACCAAACATACCTTGCAAGCAGTTTAGTCACACAATTGCAGTGACACATTTATAGCCACAGACCTAATTTTTTTTAAAGTGACTAAGAATTTGGGGTGCCCAAATTGAGACCCCTTAAAGGGGCCTGATTTTCAGAAAGTGCTAAATACCTGCCTTCTGAAAATCAGGCCCCTTTAATAGGTCTCAGGGCACTCAAGATCACTAGTCACTTTTGCAGATGTAGACCTCCGTGTTTTATTTGAAGGTATTCGCTTTATTTAAACAAATGCATTGCCAAAGCTCTGGTGTGAACTGTGTAGATAAAATTTAACACAATAATGTGTTGTTAATTTCTTTGTAGTCTACAAAGTAATAAGTACAAAGACACAACCAACTAGAACACTAGTTGGAAAGTTATATCACTACTATTGTTTTTCACAAACCTGTAATGCCTTCCAGAGCTATGCTAAAGTCTTGCATGCTAATCCAGGTGGTGTATGTCAGTAGTGTGTTTAAGCTATAAAATGTATGCACTGATAGTCCTGGAACATAACTTCACTTAGGAAAGGTTGAAACACAATACCAATTTTAAACAGTTAGAGTCTCCTTCCAAATCCAATCCTGTTCTCAACCCAAATCATTTCATGAAAATCAACCAGAGCCAGACCGATTAAGAAGAGGTTGAGAAGTCTCTTTACCAGAAGCTGTAATTCAATAAGTCAAACTTCCTAGGTATCTCTGCAAAAAGGACAAGCATCTCAGAGAGCAGGCCCCCCCGACTTAACCCCTAGTCAGTCTGTTTCTAAACAAAGTTCTCATTCTCCTAAACTATTTTAAACAGCAACCTCTTTCTCTTTGTGTGTGTGTGTGTCTCTCTCACACACACACACACACCCCTGTAAAATTGATCTTGCACTTTGTGTGCCACTCAGAGAGAATATTTCATATCAAAATATCTTGACCCAGAGCTAATTCACCAGTTTCCAGTTTCAGCAAAGCTTTCTGATGCACAAGAGTAATGATAGAGAATACAGGCATTCAAGCCTGCAGTTTAGGAAAGTAATACCAGAGTTTACAATCACAAGGACCAACCTCAACCTTTCAATCTAAAGCACTCCAACGTTTTCCATTAAAAGGATCAGAATGAGAATCGTAAATATTGCTTGATGCTGGGGGTTTTAAAATGTGCTCAGGTCATCTCACATTTACAGGAGACTGGTTCTCCAAGTCTGGTTTTAAAATGCTATTCTGTTATCAAGTCTCATCTAAAGTCAAGGCTCTAATCCTTGAAAAGCACAGTATGGTCCCCATCCTTCCCCTATTGAAGCGAATGGCAAAAATCTCATTGACTTCAATGATTAGAGGATCTTCTCCTACAATTTTATCCTCTTTGTTAGGAAATAGCTCCTCCTCTTGACCCACAGACAGTCTCTGAGCTTCATTCCCCACTGTCTTGCAAATGACTGACTACACAGCCTGCACCTATGAAAAGAGGGCATATGAAAGGAGAATTGTGGTTTGGTCATGTTTCAGATCCACTTTACACAAGTGTAAATGACAACACAAGATGGAAGGCAGTGGCAAATGAAGCCCTCTAAATTATAAAACTACACAAAGTACTCAGAGATCAGTAAAGCTAGTCAAATGTAGTCACTACTCTCCCAGTGAACTAACTATGAGTTTTGCTATTGACTCCAGTGGGAGCAGGACACAGCCCTGAAATCACATAACTTGTGGAAACAAAAGAATCTGAAATATCTTATACTGCTCTCTCAGAGACTAGACAAAAAGCCTTCAATCCAGATACCACAATTAGTCTGCAGAACTCATTGCCACACAGAATGCTATTGAGGCCAAAAGCTTAGTAGATTTCAAAAAAGGATAGACATTAATATCAATAACAAGAATATCTAGAGTTATAGAATAGCTTTTTTAAAGAAAGCATTTCAGAAGGGATATAAACCTTCATGTTGCAGGATATAAACCAAGAAGGGGTGAGGAAGAAACTTTCCCTGTTATTATTCCATAACTTCCTATTGGAGGTTTCTTGCACCTTCCTCTGATAGGACTGGTGTGGCCACATTCAGAGACTGGCCACTGGACTAGATGACCCAGTATGGCAACTCCCATCTTCTGCGGGGGGAATATAATAGTGAGACACTGTAGGTATATGACCCAGCCTGCAGTCCCTGAGCACCCAGAACTCCCAGTGACTTCTACAAATGCATTGGAAAATCTATTTTATCAAGTACCTGGTCAGATAATGTATACAAAAGGTGCCCTCTTGCTTCATGTTCAGTTACATGGTGACTAATGCACAATGGTATAATGCATCTTTACAGATATGCTACTTGCACTCTGCTTAACAAAACACGAACAAAGAAAATGACCCCCAAGATTTCCGAAACCTCACTCATCTAGCTAAATGTATCTGGATTACAGGATATATTGGTAATCTGCCACAATCATGATTTCCAAGTCAAGTGTCTAGTACCACATCTATAAGGAGATATTTAATGGTACCTTCAAATAGCAATGTTGTCATAAATAATTTTACTAAATCTCAGAGATTTGCAATTGCAAATGACAAAGATGCTGTGTTGTGAATGGGATCCCAATGCCTCCTCCATTAGTTTTTGCGCTTGTAAATCAATGCAATGTCCAATCCTTTAAATATGTTTCTAGATGAAGACAGATGGTTAGAAAGCGATATACATGTTTTTTGTTCTCCCTATAGAACAATTCGTAGTTTACTCTCAGCAAAGTTTTTAGAAATACTATTTCAAAGACAATCTAATTCTTGCAACTGGGCAAAAGATTGAGGTTCCAGTTTTTCATTGATGAAATACAACAGTGAGGTGGGGACAGCACAAAAGGGGGTGAACCTCCAGGCTTGATTCTGAAGTCAATGGCAAAATTCTCACTAATTGTAATGTGCCCTTCCTCTGCTGAAAGGGGAAGTAGGGTATTCTCTCCCAGCGCCCTTTACTGGTCGCAAGTGAGTGCAAACAGAACAGCCTGATTAGAGGGCAGGGGGTTGAAAGGAAGTCTGAAATTATAGCATTCTCTCCCACTTTTGAACTATGTATTTCCAGACTCAGATTGCTCCTTCTGCATTAATTAAAAGAAAGATTCAGTAACAAAAAACCTTCTTTAGGAGTATGGATCAGTTATAGACATGTGACAGCCTAGTGGGGGCAAGTGGCTCAGATTCAAAGAGGCCTCCCTATGTATAACCGCAGCTGTGGGAAGGTAAAAGACCTGTTATCATAAACCTCAGACTAGGATGTAAAGTGGGGGAAGAGAGCCTTCTTTGTCAAGGTCTCCCTGCTGTAAAAGACAGGCACTAAACCTCAACCTGGCTTAATCTCTAAAGGACATTTTGTGTGGCACCAGGTCACCCCACCTTCTTCCCACTCACCACTTCAATCTGCATTTCATGTAATGAACAGAACTGACCTCCCGTGCTTGGAGGCAAGAAGGCAAGGGGAGCTCATGAAGTAACAGAATCAGCAGCAAAGATTTCCTATGATTTCACCTGGGCGAGAAGAAAAGGATGCAACTAAAACAGAAAGAAACAGGTTTCAGAAACCTTGAGAGGGTGTAACCACTAGCCATGCAGTACTTTATCACACCACCAGGGGCACTGCTCCTGGTGCCTAGCTCAGAACCGAGCTGCCCTATTACATCCATTTTTAGGGGAACACCGCATTCTACAGTTATTTCCCCAGTTTGATCACTAAGTATTCACAGATTCCCTTCCTTCATCTCATTTGTTTTCTTCTGTACTTTCTCTTGAAAAGGGGCTGAATTTTCTTACTATATGGTGGGAACGGGTAAAAATTAATTTAACTTTGTGTTTTCCCCCCTGAATCCTGGCAACTATTGAGCCACATTTTATATTAATTGGGTAATATTTGCGCATTAGATTGGACGGGGTAGAGAGGCTTTTGGCGCTTATAAATGCCTAAGTATGAGCAATAATAATTACTATAAGGCAAAAAAATATTAGCATGCAAAAGTCTTTTCTGTGATACTAATGAGTAAAGATTGATCCCTGCGCTTAAAATTGAAGATTGAAATCCTGTGGAGCCACTTAATGCAGTACAGGCAAAAGCGGCAGTTTTTACCCAGTTCGCTATGAGAATTGGGACCGGTTAACCATTAGTTTAGTCTTTGAGCTAATATTTTTCATTGTGATTTTTATGCTCCATATACACAATTAAAGCGGATTTTTTCTTTATTGAAACAAGCATCGGGGGGGGGGGAATCCTTAAGATTTGTGTGTGTGCTAATCACCAAACGGACCTCTTAAAATAAGATCCATGGGAAGTAAAGACTGTGAAAGAGCTACACTTCGGTGCAGTGCTGCGAATCCAGTCCAAATGCCAGTTTAAAAAAAAATACACCTCTTGCCCCACATTCGAATGAATTCGAAACAGGTCAGAGGTGAAGAGACTCAGCTGGGGTCAAACTCACGGAAACCAAACAAGTCTCTCCTGATGCGTTCCGCTAGAGAAGGAAGCACCAGCCCAGCGTGGTAACTGAGCAAAGGAGACTAGTAGGAAACGGACCGGCATCTTCAATTGAAGGGGAAGAGGAAGAGTTCTATTTACAATAGCTTTATGAACTGCAAAGCTCACCTCTAAAACTAAGCCACAACCTTAAAACATCTCTCTCTGTTTGCCTGAGCAATGAGCTCTTACGTCTTTTGTGCTCTTTGTTCAGAGAGGTTTTTTTTAAAACATGCATTGTAACATTTCTTTTAAGGATTGCCTGCCAAAAGAGAATCCCCTAAGGAAAACCAGACCAAGAAAGTAGTGACCAATCCTTTTCGGATTATTGTCAGAAAGCTCCTCCCAGCCCCTACAATTTGCATAAAAAAATCCAGAAAACTCTTGTTTGCCCAGCATCTTGATCAGTTTGTCCACCCCTGTCTAACAGTCAGAGCCTGAGCCTCCTGGAAAGCTGCATGTAGCCTCAGGGGAGCTGAGAGTTTCTCTCTCTGGGCTAGAGCCTGTTTTCTGCCTTTGTAAGAAACTGGAAGCCTCGCTGGGGCGTTTTTTTCACCCCCGTTTTAGAGCGTGAGTCACCAACCATGTACCAGGGATACTGGTCTCTGTTCCTGATCTTTATCGCCTCCCACTGCGTAGGGTCCGTCAAAGGGCTCTTTCTTTTTGGACAGCCCGAGTTCTCATACAAGAGGTCCAACTGCAAACCTATCCCCGCCTCCCTCTTGTTGTGCCGCGGGATCGAGTACCCGAACATGAGGCTGCCCAATCTGCTGGGGCATGAAACGATCCAGGAGGTCCTGGAGCAGGCTGGAGCCTGGATCCCTCTAGTTCAGAAGCAGTGCCACCCGGACACCAGAAAGTTCCTGTGCTCGCTCTTTGCGCCCGTCTGCATCGATGACCTGGATGAGACCATTCAGCCTTGCCATTCGCTCTGTGAGCAGGTGAAGGACAGTTGCGCCCCAGTTATGTCTGCCTTCGGCTTCCCCTGGCCTGAGATGCTGGACTGCAGCCGCTTCCCCCAGGACAACGACCTATGCATCCCCCCGGCAAGCAGCGACCACGTCCTCCCTACCCCCAGAGAAGGTAAGAATGATACTGCTGCAGCCTCCTTCGAGCTTGGGCATTATTATTTCAGTGAGGGGTTCACAGGTTTCCCTGCATATTGTAATGCCTCAAGAACCAGAACATCCCCTACACTCTGCAACACATGCCAGGGGCTGTGGAGTCATCTCGGTTGCAGTTGTAGGTCTATGGGAGAGTGAATACTAGCTTTTAAAGCCGCCGAAAATGAATTGTTTCCTGCCGTGAACAGGTTTTAAACAATGACCAAAGTTAAGAACTACAGGAGGTTGTTTTACACCTGTATTTACCATGACAGTTTGTTGTAGGGTTGCTAAAGAGAGAGCGCAAGAGAGTGGAACTGAAAAAATGCCAAGATTTTTGATTGACCAGCAAACCAATTTCACACGTGAAAAGTCCATGAATCGACAGTTATTACGAATGAAGGAAGCCTCTTCCACTGGTACCCGCTTTTTATTTGGGGGCTGGTTTTAATTAGGTGGAGAAGATCATGCAAAAGGAGAATTTCCCTAGTTATAAAAGGGGTGGGCGGGTGAGAGGGAGTAGCTTTGGGAAGGGAACCTCGGGCGCTCGATACCCTTTCACAAAACCCCACGGTGTGCCTGACTTGATTTTTGTTCCTCGTGGGAGGGGAAGGGGGCTCCTTAATCCTTTTCAGGGGATTCAACAGGAACTTCTTTTCAAGCCCCTGCTTCCTTCTAGGCAGATCTTAAATCAATTGCAAAGTTGCTTAGCAATCTTTTCTGACATGATGCAGCGTGACTTTCCAATCCTCTTGAGGTTAGGTGGGTAATTCACTGGAAATGTTTTGCATTTTTCGAACATTTTCCCAACCCAAGCGATAAACAAATCAATGCTTTTATTCCTATCGCTTTCAGTGGGAACTTTGGTGGTTTTGTGATTTTACTTGGAGTCCCTGGCTCTTTGCTGCTGTGCATTTCACAAATCTTCCTCTCCTTTTTGAAAAAGGAAGGATTTTGACCGGAACGTGATCTATATTATTTCCATAGCTGAAAGAATATGCACACTTCACAGCTCACAGTTCATTCCTGTTTTAATGAAAATCCCTCTATTCTTAGAATTTTTAAAAAAACCCAACAGTTCGTTTAGAGAGGTTATGTTAACGAAACAATCTCTGTGCGATCAGTTCTGGTGTCATCTAGGAAATGAAAGGTAAATCAGAAGTTATAAAGGCAGCTGTGAGCATTCTATAAAGGGCACATACCAGTTGGTAGAAAATCTCAATTCGCTTCAATGTTCCCAAACGCCACCTGCTGTTCTTTTTTAACCAAACCTGCTTCTTACATTTCCAGCACCAAAGGTCTGTGATGCCTGCAAAAACAAGAACGAAGATGACAACGACATCGTGGAAAACCTTTGCAAAAATGACTTTGGTAAGTGGAAAAAGAGCCCTCTGGTTAGAATTCCAGGACTGGGGTCCACTCCTGTAATGATCAGGTTAAACTCCCACAGCAGGCAGTGGGATTTCTGCCAGAGTAAGGATACAGTCAGGATTTAGCCTTGTCTGCAAATCAAACTAAACTCAATCCTTCTAAGATACTGTGTCAGAAGGCTTCAATCATGCAAATCCTAGTCAGAGTGAAAAAAAAAAGTGTTTTTAAATCCTAGCAAAGTCAGATTTCTGTTTGCAATTTCCTCCTCATCTCAAAAACCAACAAAATTACCAACAATAAAGCTGTTTAATATTCATTTATATAGTGGACTCTGGCAAGTGGAGTAGTACAATGAACAAGAGCAATCTGTAATCTAAAATACTGTCTAGGGGAAAAAGTGGAGGAAGGATTTCATATAGGGGTGCAGGGGAAGAGATCCAAATTCCCAGTCTCAAACATTTGTAAAGACTTTCTTTGCAGATTATAAATGAGCTTCTACATACGATTTAACAGAGAAGGTGATGTGTGGAGACTTAAGTATATATACAAAACATGAAGATTCTGGGTTAGAAGAGGACAGGAAAGCCCTTTTAACAGGGAGAATTGGGAAATGTACAAACTGGAGTATGCCTATTTCAAGAGACTATTATAATAGATCAATATTTATAATTGCAGGTGGACCTGTACTGTAAACATCTAGTAATTCAAATGTGTCCTCAGAAACAAAGCCATTATGAGGACAATGTATTAATATAGCCTGTATTTATCCTGGCTTTGGACTGGCAAACAATGCCTGAGGTATTCAGATAAAACCTTTTAGACCTAAACATGTTGTGCAAGTCCTTAAAGAGCCTTGTATTTCCCTCTCCTTAGTTATTTTATCAAATCAAATGCAGCTGTTAGGTCAGTTCTCCTTCCACGTGATCTATTCTTTTAAACGGCAATACATGTGAAATATCATTTCCTTACAAGTTTACCTAAAAATCCTCTCCAGACTAATAAATTAAGTTTAACGTTTTCAACCACAGAAAAGATCAGATTTCAAATTAGATTTAGATTCTTCCCCCTCCCTCCTTTTCAAATTCTAGGGTTTCAGTAAGAATAAATATGTGCTAGGTTTTAACCCAGCATTAGACAATGTACAAAATGTGCCCTCTCTGTGTTTGCAAACATTAGGAAAACTAAAGAAAAGATGCATTTAGAAAAGAAGGAAAAAAAATCTTAAGGTTGATTCAAACTGAGATGACTTGCATGCACTTAGTGGCTTTAGAAAATGAGCCACCTGCTGCCCATTCTGTCAGCCCCTGACAGTTTAATTAGCAATAGAAGACCTCCCTCCCCAGGTCCCCTTTATGTGCACTAATGGGAAAAAAAAAATCTCTCAATCTCTCTCATCCCACTTCTCCCTCCCCCCTGCTCCACTCTCTCTATTAGCCCTGAAGATAAAAGTGAAGGAGATCACATACATCAATGGGGACACCAAGATCACCCCTGAAACAAAGAGCAAAACCATCTACAAGCTGAATGGGGTGACAGAGAGGGATCTGAGGAAGACAGTGCTCTGGCTCAAAGGTGGCCTGCAGTGTACCTGTGATGAGATGAATGACATAAATGCACCCTATTTAGTGATGGGACAAAGGCAGGCTGGGGAGCTGGTGATCACCTCCGTGAAGCGGTGGCAGAAAGGGCAGCGGGCATTCAAACGATTCTCCCGCAGCATCCGCAAACTGCAATGCTAATCACTTCTACTCTAGTCACTTTCACCCCAGTCACTTACACCAGCTGCCCCAGTTCTGAGCTCTTCAAGCCTCTTGCACCTTCTTGTTTCAGCCTTTCTGAACCACAAGATATAGCAGGCATGGGAGACGATGGCTGTTTGTTTAAAATGAAGAGGAGGGGAAAACCCGCCCCTTCAAATTTTGTAAATATATTAAAACTGTAATAAAAATCATGAATATTTTTGTGAAGTATTAAAATATCTTGCTTAAAGCTAGTTTGTTTGGTTTGATTTTTGAATAAGTGCAAATGTGACATTGGTCTGAATTTTTCTTTTTTCCTTCATGTTGGGAAAGCTGCTCAATTGATATCACCACCTTTCTCTATACACACATTTGTGTTTGTGTGTATTTCTCTCTGACACACTCAGAGATGGCAACAAACATTTCCCCCTTTTGTTGACCTTGTACATGGAGTCTGATTTTTGTCCATGTATGAAATGGCATGCCATCTATTTTAACACTATAGAGGAGACCGTTACAACTGCTGCATGAGGTACATATGCATCAATACAAGTAAGTTAACCATGTGTACATTTTGTTTTCTGACCCTGCCCCCCGAAACAAAAAAAAAACATTTTGTACACTGATCTGAATACACCTTTTAACTTTTTTAAACTTGCAAATTAAACCATTTGTAGCCTAACTGTAATATACCTAAGGATTAACCTGAAAGAGTTGTAAAATATTGTTTTAACCAACCTTGTAAATATTCCAGATAAATGTTATATCCTTGTATATAAACTTTACATCGCAGTTTACCAATTGTCTTCCTTTTGGGGGGGGTGGAGTTATGTCAACGAGTTTTGAAAATGAGAGAATTGAGAATCACCACCACAAACAGGTTTTTGTCATAATACAGCAAAACTTGCACCAAAGTCCCCAACTCCAATAGTCAATAAATAACCACTTTAGAGAGCCCAGTCCCATGATTAGATCCATGAGGGCTGGGCTCTCTAAAGTGGTTATTTATTGAATTAATAGGACTCCACACAAACCTAAAGATCCACCCATAGCGGTTCTAAGATGTCTCTGTAACTCTTAAACACCATTTTAAGATTAGCAGGTTTTTTTGCTGCTCCTTTGGGTGGCCAATTATGGTTTCACCATGTCTCCTAGGAAGACTTTGCTGTCTCGCTCTTTTTTTAAAAAAATTGTATTTTTTTATTTCCCCTCCAAAAAATAAGAAGAGAACAAAGAAAAAGGACAAAAAGAACAGAAAAGGAAAGGAAAGAGGGTAGGGAGGGGAAAGGAAAGTAGCATCTCAGGTCTGGTCTACACTACAGACCTATACTGATATAACTAGATCCTTCAGGGTTGTGAAAAATCCACACCCAGAGCAACGTAGTTATACTGACTTGCCTCCTCCCACCCCATAGACAGCACTATGTTACCGGGACAGCTTCTTCCACTGACATAGCTATCACCTCTTGGGGAGGTGGATTAACTAAGCCAATGGGAGAGAGCTCTCCCGTCAGTGTAGAGTGTCTTCATTACAATGCTACAGCAACATTTTAAGTGTTGACTTGCCTCAGATTCCTCCTAATTTAGGAATTAGTCAAAGATTTCCAAAAATTCAAACCAACTCTTTTTAAATTTGTCTAAGGGGAAGACTTTGCTCTTTATCGATGTAGAGTTACAATGGCTTATCTATTTTAAAATGATCAGAATAAGGTTAATTTTCATACACATACAATTGATAGTAGTATAAAAGGAACCGGAAGTCCTACGTGAAAATCCCTGTTAGAACAATTTAATAGTGCAGAATAATTAAGGCCCTTTGTTTTGGGGTTTTATTTTATTTAACATTTCCTAGGAATTTGTCAGTGTTTATTACTAACATTTAAAAAAATGGGTGAAAATTGGTGCAAAAAATTAACTTCATGGTTTTCTAGGTAAATATCAGGATTAATACTGGGGGCTTTGTCCGGCAGGAGAAGCAGACGGAGCTCTGTGACCTGGGTCTTCTCTCGGGGTGCATGTTGTAACCCTCCCTCAGGCAGCACTGAAGGGCCCAGCTATTCACAGGGGCTATCACTGGAGCCAGTACTCAAAAGGGCAGCAATAGGTGGGGGCTAGGAAATACCCGGTGTGGTAGGGTGCTTGATACTTGCGGGGCAGAGTGAAGGGGTTCCTGGTGGGGCAGGAGGCCAGTACTCACTGGACAGGGGGGTGATGGGTGCCCATACTTACAGGGTGCAACTTTTGCTGTGCTGATTGGCAATGGTCTTGATGTCGCCATTCTGCATCACCATGGTGTAGCAGCTGAGGAAGTTCAGGTCCATGCCAACCACCAACATGTCAGTTTCTGGTGCCTTCTGCTCCCTGCAGACCTGTCGTAACAGCAGTTGAGCAGTCTTGACTTCTGGGACCTGGCACCCTGCCAGTCTCACTGCCCCACTGCAGAGCAACAGCCACCCACCAGCAGTTACCCTGTTTGGTGCAGCCACACTGTGCTGTCTGTCAGGGACCCTACGTGGAGGAACTGTCTCCCCACCAGAGTCTGGACTAGTACCTTGCTCCGGAAGGAGAGATAACCACTTGGTATGTGCCATCTTTCATTTCAGGGCAGGGAGTCAGGTAGGGAGGGGGGCAAAAACTAAAAAAATTAGTAAAAACAAATAATGGGTTTTGTAAAACCTAAGCCATTTTCAGTAAAAAATCAGTAAAAACCAAAACCAAAGGGCCTTAGAAATAATTAAAATGGTAAAATAACAAACAAAAAGCTAGTACTTCTATTTCATATATATTTTTATATATTAATACTTTTACTTAGGCAAGAAATATCAACAAACATAATAGGATTTTTAAAAACAAAACATCACTGGGGTTAGCTAAGAGCTTAACTAGGAGACTATCTTAGCACCCGTTCTTCTAAACTGTTACAGAGGAATGTGATTACACGGTCATATTTTATCATATATCTTTAAATAATATAAATATGAATGGGCCTATTCCTCAAAGCTCCTGAACACCCAGTACTCCTATTGAATGCAGTGAGAATATTAGACTCTCAGGATCAGTCCCTGTCTTTTATTACTGACACAGAATAACATGCATACACCACACAATAATCAGTTTTTCAATGTGAAAACTAGAAAAGCAGCCCCATTATTTTTCATGCATTCAGAATGATTTTTATCTTGTAGCATACAAGGTTAAACCTTTTACTGTCTATTGCACAGAGCTTGTTTTGAACAGGATAAGATCCTGGGGCCCCATCCTGCATTCGTTGCATACTCAATATTTCCATTGAAGTCAACAATGCAGGACTGGCCCTTCACAGGAATATTTGCAGACAAACTTAAAAAGTAAGTGGCTCATACATTGCAGATATTTTCTTATGGTGTTTCCTCTGAAAGTGTAGGGCTTCTCATGAAATAGGTCGTATCCCTTCTGTGCCCTGACATTATTACTTGAATACCAACAGTGGACTCAGCATTGTACAAACCCAACAATAAGCAGATGCCACACAGCTCTATCTATCCTTCACAACACGATAGGACCACTGTCACTAACCTGATCCAGTGCTTAGACCAGATCAGCTCATGGATGAAGAACAGCTGGCTGAAGCGGATCAAGGTGGAAATTATGCTGATTGGCAGAGGAAAGCACTTAGAAAAGTTTGCAGCCATGGTTCAGTCTCCATTGAGTGAAGATACACAACCACACCTAACCAATTCAGTCCACAGTTTAGGCGTACTCCTGGTTTTCTCACTGATACTAAGCTCTCACGTAATAGCCATAAGACTGTCCCCATCATGTTTCCCCTTTGAAAACAACAACTTTGACTTCAATGGGAGCACAAGCGAGCACCAAGTCACTTGCCCAGGGTCACACTGAGTCAGTCGGACTGTTTGCTCAGGGTCACATTGACATCAGTGGGATTACTGTCATGAGTAAAGTATGTAGGATTTAGACCAGTGTCAAGAATAGCACTCAGATCATTTAATTCCTATTTATTTCCCTGATTTAACTATGTGTCTTGCCATTTTAATGTTATCCTAACAATAATAATTCACTTCACCAAAAAAGGAAAGGTTTACTCAGTGTTTGTATTATAAAACCTATTATCAGGGGTGTACAACCCAGCTATTGAAAATCCAGCTCAGTTGAAAATTAGCATTATAAGGTCTCAACTTGGAAACAATCTTCTCCAGATGTTACCAAAAAAATCAATTTAATCTATTTCATCATTTTTACATTTTAGAAAATCATTTTGTCTGACTATAACTGGACATCTTTGGTTATGTCAGGTAAAAAGAAATTCAAGTAAGTAGCTAAAGGCCATGCATATCTATAACTTCTGATCAGCATTGAATCACATACATTTGTTTAGAATTAGCTTTCTCACCTGATTTGTTAGGTTTCTAACTTAGATAATAGGATTATTTGCAAACAAAATAAAATAGGGATTCACTTTCATATGCTTTAAGGGAAAAAGTAATTTTCTAGACACTTGTTCTCTTCTAATTAAAAAGAATATTGTTTGGTAGTCAAGTATAGAGGTCTCATTGTTATTGCTTCCATAAAATATTTTAAAATACCAGTTGACTGCAATGAACTAATTTATGGAAAATAATAATACTTAACGTTTATTAAACAGTTTTCATTCAAGTTTCTCAAAGTGCTTTATAATCACCCTAATTTTATTGATCGGGAAAATCAGGTCCAGATGGGTTAAATAACTTGCTCAAAGTCACACAGCAGCCATATACAGAGTTCTGAAAAGAATCAAATTTCTTGCCTCCAATTGCTGTGCTCTAACCACTAGACCACAGCAATCTGAATGGCTCATGGTAGTACATCAATGTTGCAATTATATCATTGGGAAGCATAATAGTGACTAATGTTCCCTCTAGATTATTTTTCCCTATTTGTGAAAAAGTGAGTGCCCAAACTCAAGTTTAAAACTTATCAGCAAAGTCTCTTACACTCTTGTTCTCGTCCTTTCTTATTGTATATCCTCTAATTCCACCTACTCTTTCCATTTCACTCATTCCTGCTCCTTTTTCCCCCATTCCTCATTTATTCCATGCCCCTATATTCACTATTGCCTCCTCTCCACCACTCACTCTCACTTGTTCCTTCCCCCTCACCACATATCCTCTCCCTCATTTTCATTGTCTTTGTACGAAAAAGAAAGAGAACATACACAACAATCCTACACGTTCCAAAAAACCAAAGATACTTGAACAATTCAAAACTACCTAAACAGCATCCGACGAAGTGGGTATTCACCCACGAAAGCTCATGCTCCAATATGTCCGTTAGTCTATACGGTGCCACAGGACTCTTTGCCGCTTTTACAGATCCAGACTAACACGGCTACCCCTCTGAAGCCCGCTCTCTCAGTTTTCTCTTGTACTGTCTATCATCAGAAAGTAACAGGCTTCTCCTCTGCAAGTGGCTGGGCTGCAGGTGGGTATGGTTAGAGAGAGATGGGGGCTGGGGGAATGGGAAATTGAAACTGAGCCCTTTTGTCTACTCTGGGTTTACCAGTACAGCGATAATGGTATAAACTGCCCCATTGGAAGTACAGCTTATACTAGCAAAAGAAAGTGCTTTTGCCAGTATAGAGTATACTGGTTCCCCAATACACTTTTACAGGTATACGTGCCATAGAAATGTTGTAAAAATAAAATAAAGTAATCACATCCCTAACCATCAGAGTTATACTTGCAAAAGTTTCCTGTTTAGACCTGCCCTAAGTGTTCTTAAGGTGGGCAGGGCCATCTGTTGCCAGAGCTCCAGGAGAGGC